CCCAACATGTTTTGTTATTATAGATTAATTTTGTCCTTGTGATGTTTAGTTTTGTGTCGCTTTCATATGATAGCATAATTGGTGAGTGATCAGATGATAAGTCAGGAAGTGTACTTACTGTAAGAAATCGTTTGTTTATATTTTTGGTCACGAAGAAGTCAATCACGTCTGGTATTTTGTTCATATCGGTAGGCCAGTACGTAGGTTCACCTGTGCTTAGAATGTCTGCTTTTTTGTCAATGATAGCATTATGTATTATTTTTCCCTTTGCAGTTTGTAATTCTTGTGCCCCACAAAGTATGTTTTGCATTAAAGTCTCCACCAACAATGTACCGATTGCCGAGAGTGTTAAGGTAGCTCAGGCATACATCCTTCGAGTTATTGTATTTCGGAGGGCAGTAAATAGCTGATACTGTTAACTAGCCTCTTGTATCTTGAATATGGACACTTGTAGCTTGAACTTGTTCTGTTTGGTATATACTAGCTATTGAGCATTGCATATTTTGCTTAATAATTACTGCTGTTCCACCATGGGCTTTGTTTTCGGGATGATTTGTATAATATATCGAATAGTTAGGGATTTTGATGAAACTTTTAACGGTGAAGAGTGTCTCTGATACCAGTAGTACATCAATGGAATTGATGTTTAAGTATGTTCTCAGTTCTAGTAGTTGTTTGCTGAGACCGTTTGCATTCCAAGCTAAAATTTTTAATTTATTTCTGTCCATCGAGTTTGGTGATTAGGATGGTTAAAATATGTATAACGTTGGCAACTTGCGTCATAAGCTGTTACATCATTTGCTTCATCATTTGGATTGAGTTGGATGCGATTTTATTATTTCGGCGTATGTTTTAGCTGGTTGGATTTGTTGGGTTTGTTGGGTGGTAGTTATTAGGTTCGTAACAGCTTTAGTTGGCAGAGATATTTCGTTATTTTGAGATGTGGTTTTTTGTTGTTTTACGCGAAGAGCTGGGAATCATTTGATTTGAAGAGTTTTATAGAGTGTACAACCTTTGTAGTTTGCAGTGTGATTCTCTTAACAGAGTACGCATTTAAGGACGTTGTTCTTACCTTTCATGGGACAGTCAATTGTTTTATGTCCTTCGGAGCATTTAACACAGATTGGACTTCTTGTACAAAAATTTTTTGTGTGTCCATACTTTTGACAGTGGGTACATTGTGGTATTGTTCTTTTTGGATGGGGAGGTTCAAAATTTATTTTGCAGTGCAGTAGGTCTTTGATGTTGTAAATTTCCTTGTTATTTACATCTTGTTTAATTTCGATTGTAAATAGGTTTAATGGAGATTTTGTGCGCGGATGTAATACGTTTTGTATATTGCATACTTCATGTCCTAGTTCAGCTAGCTCTAGTTCAGCTAGTTCATTTTTGTTAGCGGAGTGGTGCATACCGCGTAGGAAGATCTTAAACCCCCTTTCTTCTTTTGGCTTATACGTGTAGTACTCCACGCTCCTTTCTTTAAGAAATTTTACTATGCTAGTGTAATCTGTTGATTCGAATGGCTGGATTTTTATTTCATTATTTTGTAATACACGAATTTCATATTTAGATATTTGTAGTGCATCTAACGTTTTAATTAGCAGCTGTACTTTTTGCACATAATGGGTGGAGGTTTTTTATTTTTAGCCGTTTGATTTTGTGTTGTTTTGCTATCTTTAGTGGGTTCTTTATCGCTATCAGTTACTAGGACAGCAAGTCTATTTGTTGCTAAGGAATACTCGTTTAATGTGTACTGTTTTTTGTTTTGTTTGTGTTTTTTGGCGCTTATTTCATTGATTTGCTTACCAGGGGAGCTACGAATTCTCTTATTCACTACTGGTGTGGTGAAGTCATTGTTTTTATTTGTAGTTGCATCTTCCGTTGTGTTTGCAGTTCTGGTGTTAATATCAGAGTTTTCCAAATTCTGAATGAGTTTTGATGGTGAATTGTGTTGATGATGCTTTGATTGTTGGAGTTTTATGTGCTACTCCTGCTACATTTGTTGTTTCTCTATTTGCTGGTTCTGTTGTGGTTGTTTTTGTTGGGTTTGCAGTGATTTTTCTTGCAGCTGTAGCTGTTGATTTGATCGTAGAAGTGTTGTTTGATTATTATTATTGGATGCTTTTGAACATAGGACAGCTTGCTGTTGTTGTCGTTCTTGTTGTGATTGTTGCTCGTGATTTGACTCGCCTCCAC